CGGGGCTCCAACCCACGAACCGTGAGATCATGACCTGATAAGTTTACTTATTTTGAGTGTGAGAGACTGTGCAAGTGGGAGAGAGACAGAGGGAGAAGAGAGAGAATCCCAAATGGGCTCTGCACTTTCAAATTTTTTAAATGTTTATTTTTGAGAGACAGTGAGAGCATGAGGGGTGTGTGTGTGTGTTTGTGTGTGTGTGTGTGTGTGTGTGTGTGTGTGTATGGCAGGGGTGTCTTGTTTTTTCCTTTGGAGCATATTTCTCTATTTCTACATTCTGCCTGACTTTCTGTGTTTCTAGAAGTTAGGCAGAACACCTGCTTCTAAACTTGAAGTAATGATTTGTGTATGGTCATCCCCTGTGTAGACTGTGTGTGCTCGGCAGGTGTGGCTGTGGCTGGAACCGTGGCTGCCATGGGCCAGGGGTCCCAGGGCACTTTGTGCTGGAGCCGCCCTGGTGGGATGGCCAGAGATGAAGTGGGCATGGGCTGGGCGACATCCCAGGGCTCTCCACACAGCGGGCGCCCTGGCAGGACAGCTGAAGCTGAAGTGGGTGTGAGCCAGTGTGTCTGAGGCTTTCTGCAGGGCGAGCTCCCTGGCTGGGCAGAGAGGTGTGGGCTGTGGGGTCCTGGGGTGCTCCGTGCATGGGGCATCCCAGCAAGTTGTCTGGGGGCCATGTGGTATGGGCCCAGAGTCTTCTGGGGTGCATTTTGCCTGTTACTTGGGTGACACAGCTGGGGCTGCAGTGAATGCTGACCGGGGGTGTCCTGCTGTGTGCTGTGCTGGGGCTGCCTTGAGGGCACTGGTGGTGGTGGTGTGGGCTGGGGCCCCGGGGCTCCCGAGGTCATAAGGTGGCCTGGGCACCTGGGCTGCTTTCATCCCTCCTATCAGTGTGAATGAGGAACGTCAGCTACACGTCCACCTGCCCCCTCTGACCTGGGGAGACTTTCAGCATCTCTTCCACCATTTGGCAACTAAGGCTGGATCTTTTGTTATTTTTTATTTAAATTCTAGTTAGTTAACATACAGTGTAATATTAGTTTTGGGTGTACAATTTAATGATTCAGTGCTTCCATACATCACCCAGTGCTCACCACAAGTGCCCTCCTAATCCCCATCAACTATTTCATCCATCCCCCCACCCACCTCCACTCTGGTAACTTATCAGTTTGTTCTCTATAGTTGAGCGTCTGTTTCTTGATTGGCCTCTTTTTTTCCCCATGATCATTTGTTTCTTAAATTCCACCTGTGAGTAAAACCATATGGTATTTGTCTTTCTCTGATTTATTTCACTTAGCATAAGATGCTCTAGCTCCGGGGTGCCTGGGTGGCTTAGTCGGTTAAGCGTCTGACTTTTGCTTAGGTCATGATCTCGCGGTTCGTGGGTTCGAGCCCTGAGTCGGGCTCTGTGCTGACTGCCAGCTCAGAGCCTGGAGACTGTTTCAGAGTCTATGACTCCCTCTCTCTCTGACCCTCCCCTGCTCACGCTGTCTCTCTCTCTCCTAGAAATAAAAACATTAAAAAAATTAAAAAAAAAAAAAAGATGCTCTAGCTCCATCCATGTCACTGTAAGTGGCAAGAGTTCATTCTTTTTCATGGCTGAATAATATTCCATTGTATATACATACCATATCTTCTTCATCCACTCAGTCTATAAACACTTGGGCTCTTTCCATAATTTGGCTATTGTTGACAATGCTGCTATAAACATTGGGGTGCATGTATCCCTCCAAATTAGTATTTTTGTATCCTTTGGGTAAATACCTAGTAGTGCAATTGCTGGGTCATTGGGTAGTTCTATTTTTAACTTTCTGGGGATCCTCCATACTGTTTTCCAGAGTGGCTGCACCAGTTTGCATTCCCACCAACAGTATAAGAGGGTTCCCCTTTCTCCACATCCTCCTCTAGGGCTGGATCTTTTGTATACTAGTTGCTCTTTTTTGTTCTGCTTTTTAAAGTTTATTTTTGAGAGAGGGAGAGAGAGGGAGAGAGAGAGAGAGGAGAGAGAGAGAGAGAGAGAGAGAGAAACACCAACACCAACACGAACAGGGGAGGGGCAGAGAGAGGGAGACTGAGAATTCCAAGCAGGCTCTGTGTGGTCAGTGCAGAGTCTGAGCTGGGGCTGGATATCACAAACTATGAGATCATGACCTGAGCTGAAATCAAGAGCCAGATGCTTTACCTGACTGAGCCACCCAGGTGCCCCTGCTAGCGGTTCTTTTAAACCCCAGCTTTTCCTCCGTGCCCTGCAACAGGGGATTTGTTCAGGGTCCCCCAGGACTAACCTCCTCCCTGCACTCCGCAGTGCCAGGGTGGGGGTTCCTTTCATTACCTTGCCAGGAAGACTTTTAATCCTGATTATTTCATTAGTTTTGTTTCCTTATAGTTGTTTTCTCCATCAGGAAAGGTTATTGGAACATGAGTCAAATACCACAAATCAACAAAACCAACACCAGTAGGAAAATAAAAGGCTTTACACTTGTAATTCCTATATATTTATATATAGTTTATCCTGCCTTCTTATAAAAAGGACGTGAGGCTAATGTTATGATGAAGTGAGCTACAAGAACACGTAACTAAAGCAATATGCTAAGGTCTGACATGCCCCGAGCATGCTGATGAAGAGGGTCTCCCATTCACAGCCTAGAAAGCATCCCGACAAGGGCAACATCTTTGTTCCCTCTCTTCCAGCAGTAGAAGGGGCTCTACGACAGATGGCATTCGTGAGACCTCCCGCTCCTCCTATATTCTCCCAACTAAAAACAAAACAAAACCATGACAGGCGATAGGTGTCATTAAGAGTGCTTTTATTTACAAAGAATCATTTTTATTTGGCTGTTTGGAAAACCACTAACATTTTTCACTTTAGAAAACATTAAATAATAAACAAGATGTTATACAGTACTTTGGATAACTTCTGTCAGTTTAGTGCAATGTAATATTGGCACCTAAAAGTGACATTTTCAACGATTTCCCCCTTTCCTCTTCGGTTGTGCAGTTATACGACCACAAAGGAAATGAATCATTAAAAATGGATCTAAAGCCACACCATCTGGCCCCTAGTCAAAGGCTCACTGATTTACGTCCCTGCTCCCATCCTGCCTCCACCAAGTGAAAGGACTAGAGATATTCTGTTGGTAATTTTTTTTTTAAACACAGGTGCATTTTGTGGAACTTGGGAGATTCCCATTGACCAATGAAGCCATCATAGCGGCTGGGGGAAGCAAGGATGCTGACAGGTGTTGAGCACAGCACTCTTTATCAGTGGCCAACTTGTCACACACGTTGCACAGAGAATGCACCACACAAAAAACTCTCTAACCTCTGTTCCTTGTTATGGTCTCTTTCAAAACCTGAAATATCATCCATTGAGCAACTAAAAGGGTTATACTTTTACCAAAAAAAGAAAAGAACCCTACCCCGTTAGGACACTATGGAGGTGGTAAAGTATCTGTCCGTCATACTCTTTTAAGAATATGGGTGTTTTTCCCCCACTGTTATAATCCCATTAGGTTTGCCTTAAAGGGAGAGATCTTTCAGTGAGCTCCACATTTGGTGGGCTTTTCCCCTTTTGATTCTCCTCCATTAGGAGGCTAAGAGGTAAATACCTAAATTAGATCCTGGCCTCGTCCAAATGACTCTGTTCTGAAGATTTTTGTTACCTAGGAATAGAATCAAGACATCTTTTGGAAGATTCTATAATCTGTCACTTTATCTTAATGTAAGAACATCTTTAACCATCTTAAATAAACACATTTTTATCTATTTTTAAAAAACCTTCAAAGAGGGTGAGGGAGAGAGAAAAAGGGAGAGAGAAAAAGGAGAGAAAGAAAAAAAGAGAAGAGATGGAGGGGGAGAGAGAAGAGACGGAGGGGGAGAGAGAAGAGACGGAGGGGGAGAGAGAGAAGAGACGGAGGGGGAGAGAGAGAAGAGACGGAGCGGGAGAGAGAGAGGAGACGGAGGGGGAGAGAGAGAAGAGATGGAGGGGGAGAGAGAGAAGAGACGGAGGGGGAGAGAGAGAAGAGACGGAGGGGGAGAGAGAGAAGAGATGGAGGCGGAGAGAGAGAAGAGAGGAGAGAGATTCACTTTCTTTCTTTCTTTTTTTTTTTAAACAAAGGATTCTAATTTAACAGTTGCCCCTGCCAGGAAACGTCCCCTCACACTCCCGTCTGGGCCCGTTTCCTCTTGTCCTATTCTTTGCGCACGTGGAGGACAGCTGGCCACCGTCCTCTCCGCCCCAGCCATCCACACACTTGAAAACCAGCAGGGATTTGCCCCTCAGTCGTCTCTTCTCCACACTGGATAATCCCAGTTCCTTTAATTTTTCATCATAGATCTTTTTTTCCAACCCTTTAATCATCTTTGTGATTCCTGGCAGAAACAGCAGAGAATATTGTGATTACTTAATCAGGAATGAAGGAAAAGCCTCAGGAGTTCATTGCCTCTTAAAAGCTGGGTGTTTTCTCACATAAAGGTAAAACCAGCAGGGAGGAAATGCAGTCGCGGGTGGGGGGTGGGGGGGTGGGTTCCCAGGTCTTCCTGCTCTAATGTGCGTGGGAGCCCCGTTTCCACACATCAGCGCATCCGGGCACAGGACCTGCGCCCTGCCCCGTTCTGAAAAGACGGCACAAGCGTTAGGAGTCAGACCTGCCTCTGTGTGTATGGATTTTAAAATCTGTATGAAACCCTGTCCCAACAGAGCCCTCCCCCTCACTCTTCCAGAAGCAGGATCTTTTCTCTGAAACAACCAGAACTTTTACAACATGTTTCGCAGATTACCAAAGAGAGCCATGTTATTATGGTAAAAACTGCTGGTTTTAAAGTATACCCTGGAACAGTGAGAGTCTTCTACACAAACATCAGCTTCTTGTCCACATGAATGGTTCGCTATCCCGTATAGTGATCAAACTCATGGCCGTCAAAAAACTCATCCCTCCACTACCACACCTGACATCTCTTCCCATTTTCTCTCGCTGCCAAAATAAGGTCTGGGAACTGGATGACATTTCACCGGGTATTTTTTAATTCAAGAGCTCACAAGCTGCCTTTTCCCTTGCAACTAGAGTCTGTATATATTAGGAACACGTAACTACTTAATATCAATAGCACATTTACACAAAACACAATACTACTAACGAGGGACGTGCCCACTCTACGTAATGTCTTCAAGAGAAAAATACAGATTAACGAGAATAAATGCATCTTGATACGTTACACACCCTTCTTTTATAAAGTGAATGGCAGTAAAAGCCAGAGTTCAGGTCAGGCCAGAGCTAACATGTGAAGGGGAGAAACCAATTTCACAGGCACATTGTACAACAACATTATCTTAGGGGAAGTCAATACTACTCGTGGTACAACACTGAACACATAACAGAATGGCCATTTGCACAGATTTCTTTTGCAATCTTCTCCCATGGTTTGCAACTAGGAACACCTTGTGACCAGGAGGAAGGATGGCACAGGTCACATGCCGGGGGCCTTCCTGAAAGACACACAGGATGGAAGGTAACACCGAAAGCTGGCGTGGACGTATCTACAGATGCCCCCCTATATCCCAAGGAGGGTGTCACTGTTCATTGGAATTGCACAAAAGCAGGCCAGCAAGGTGTGGGTCACCCACCAGACTTTCTCTTGACCCACTGACCTATTCTTCTCCTAGGCCTGATAAGAGGGAGGGGAGGGCAGGAGGTGAAGATTGGAAAAAGAAAAGAGCAACAGGGAGAGTTCAGTGCTAGTTCGGGAGTTGCTCGCGTTCTTCAGAGCAGTGGCCTTTTCTCAGGCTCACATCATCCAATCCAATCTCCCCAGTGTGGCCACGCCTTTTTTCACCTCTGAAGATGACCTAGGGAGAGAACGCACACCAGTCAAGCCTCTCCTCTGCCACTTCCCAATGCCCTCGCTTCACAAAATGAAAGGCAAACGTTCCCCAAAACCGAACAGCAAACTTACTCGACAGAAGGAAAGACTAGAACATAGCCAGGGTCGCCTGAGGCTTGCCTTTTGGCAGAAACTGAAATCCTCACTAAAGTGTTCATCAGACCACATGTTACGCTTTAAAAAGCCATTTTGAAGGACAGACTACTTCTGTTCAGGAATGTTTACGAAATGGACATTTTGTGAAAGATTACGAAGGTCAGAAGTAACAAATGAGACAGATATAAAGATGTAGAAATAAGAGCCAAAACTCTGCCTGAACGACCATAATCAGGCTGCCTATCCTGGACATTTGCGGTTTCCTCCTTGGGTTAGGCCGACTTTGTTGCCTAAAACAGACTCGGACCAAACACCACATTCCAATCACAGTGTTGTTTTACTTCCGTAAAGGACAAGAACTTTCTTGTATCTCATCTTCTATAGATCATCCTTGGTTTTTTAAAAACAGAAACCTTCCCATGCTATGATTTTTAAAACGACTTTGTTTCTCCAAACAATGTTACGCTTTTTTTTTTTTTTACAAGAGTAAAAGAAATCGAAGACTGATAAAAGCTGTATACATGGAGTCTGTTCCTTTTAACATAGTTTCTAGAAACTATGCCTATGGTCATCTATGCATAATCTCCTAATAGCAAGTTTTGTGAATAGAAGCATAAAGATTCTCTTCCAAATACATTATTTTGGTGGAATGCTATAGATCGTCTTATTGCTACCTATGACTTGATTACTTAAGATAAAATTTACGTATTGAGTCAAAGCTTTTCCCACATCCTGTCCTGAATAGGACCTCCCAAGCATATTGTTCTGGGTTTCCACCCAAGGCTGTTTAACTATGATCTCTGAGGCAAAGGAAAAAAATTAGACTTCAGAGAAATACTTCAAAAAAGAAAAAAGAAACACTTTAGGGTAACTCTGAAAAGTAAAGGAGTTGAAGAAAAAGGAAAAGCAGCAACAGTTAAGCTCAGCACCTCTGCTCTTTCAAGTTGCTGTTAACTTTTTTTTTTCTTTTTCAATTCCTGAGTTTTCTTCATTAAAAATAGGGGATTTTCACCAAGGATGGGGGGGGAGAGTGGCTGTGCTCAGAGGTTGCAATGAAGAACGTAAGAAGCAGTAAAAAGGGATTACAGGAAGAGGCAGTGAAGGAACAGAGCTCTCATATCCAGAAAAACACAAACCTTTGTGCCTGAATTAATGAAGGAAACATGGCTTTTTCAGATTCAGATCCTACAGTTCTCCTATGAAAGGAAAACTTCCCAGGCTATGCCTCCTTGTAGGTTCTACTTACGCTCTTGACGTCAGCCCCTCGCAAGGTGATCTGTGTGTGCCTCCAGCCATGGCCACCATTTCTTCCCCACAGGGCTGCTCCGTGGGCACCGTGTTTTCTCACAAACACCTGGAGTGCGCCGGAGTGCAGCCCAGTCACCTTGTGCCTGAACGACAGGCACAGGTCCCCTGAATGCATGAGGTGGCCGAGAGGTAGCACCAAGCGAGCGGCTTTTCCCCCTGGGCCTTTGGCTCCCGAGACTGTCAGATATTGTCCACCTGGAATGGGAAAAGCAGGGCTTTTGTGTGTATGTGCCGACATTCCTTTCTCGCACAGACAGCATGGAGGGCGAAACTCACATAAGCTTTACTTTGCAGAAACTGCAAGCTGGGGTAGTCACTTGTACAGAATTCCACATTTTGCAGAGGGGAGAAGATCAGACTAAATTCTGTGGCTTGTGTTTACAGAAAATACTTGGCTCATGGAGAGTACAAATTACGGCAAGGACACAGTGATTAGTAATCCTGACACTATGAATATTTTCTGTTGAGGATGAGCAGACATACACAGGTGGACACGAGCTCACCATCTCTTGATCTTCACCAATGTCTGACTCCATTGTCAAGCTGGCTGGCTGGTTGACTCTAAATTGCCAAAGAGAATTTCCTATGTGGATAATTAACCTCCAGGCAGTAGAGCAGATGGTGATCTAAAGGGACACTAGATCTGTTTATTCTCTTCTCTCCACTTTTTTTTTTTTTTTTTAATCTCTAAAGCAAGAAGGGTTCTTTGTAAAGGTCAGTTTTGCTATTTTTCTCACACGGGAGTACACCTAACCCCATGAAGATGCAGAGGTGTTCTGTAAACCTCTACATCTTGCTGGAGCATCAATTTTATTTGCAGGTAAGTAGTTTAAGACATGTTTATCTCAAAGCAAATCTGTATCATTATATATAATTAATATTAACTAATATATTACATATATATGTACACACAATATTAATTAAAAACTTTCACTTTGGACAAGTACTTTGATGATATCCTCAGATCCCTAGGGCTATAGAGTTCGCTTCGCCCTATTGTTAGAGTAACCGCAATGGGGTGGGGGAAGTTTAAGGAACAGTGAAGTGGGGTATATTGCTTCCCAAGAGAGGGGAAGTTGCAAGTAGTATTTGGAAACTCAGTCCATGTACAAATGACCCCCACCCACCCGGCTGTTTTATTACAGCCAACTGAAGAGGCACCTTGCGTTTCAGCACCAATTTATCCGTTAAGAAATACGTGGCTGGAATGTTGACCACATGTACTTGTTTTGGTAGAGATGCTACTTATTTCTCAGTTAAAAGATAACCATCCTTTCTTTGTTATGCTTAATCTGTGTAAGATATGATTATTTGGAGGATGTCCTATTCTTCAAGGGACATGTCTACTAAGTTCCTTAGTTCTTACTAAGTTCTACTAAGAGCATTCAAAGGACCAAATAGGCGATTGTCGTATACTTTGCCTGTGCCAGGCTCTTTAATGGGAACACCTTCAGCCCTGCTAACTGGTCTCTGAAGGGAGCACGAGTTTGGTTTGTCATACAGCTGCAGAAACTAAGGTTTGGAGAGGTGAAGGCACCCGAGGTGTCATCCAGCCAGCGAGGGGCAGGGCAACGGAGTGAGGTCAGAACTACCTGATCCCCTCCCTATGGAGCACTTGCTGCTCTCAGACTGGAATCAGTGGTTTACTGTCAGAACCGATCTTTCCCCCAAACTACCCCATTTTAAATTCCTGGCACATGATAGGGCTTTGATGTCATTTGTTAAATAAATGATGCTCCAAGAATACAGGAAAAACCTGTAGGGAAATAGGTCCTTGAGGCATGTACTTGACTCACCAAACGCACAGATTTCTTCTCTGCCCATCCTTGTGCCCTGCCAAATTAATCCAAACAAAATTTGGGGCCAAAACATTTAGATGGGGGTTAAATGTCTCCCCATAAGTCAGCTTTGAATCATCACAGGTATTTGGGTTAAGACTAAGATATAAGGTTATTACAGTTAACCTGAAAGTTTTAAGAAAACAAGGATTACCTTAAGACCCTGTGGAATGTTCGCTAATATCACTATGCCAGACGTCGCAGGCAAACAACCTCACAAACCAAAGGCATCCTGGTGAGAGTCAAGGAGTCCTTTTGTACAGGTATCTAAAACTACAGTGTAAATCATGGTGAGCGAGGCCACCATTGCTCTTCCTCTATAGAGCTGCTCTGGGGGAAAGAGGTTTTGGTTTTACATTAAAGGATTCTTTCCCTTTTTAATAAAAGGAAATGTTACAAGGGTGCAGTGGTAGCTAAGGGAAAAATGGATCTAGTATTCCAAAACAAGTTACCTATTAGATAAAAATCTTCTGATTCCAAAATACTGGCTTAAATAGAAAACTATATTAAACATCTTCATGGTTTCAATTTAAAGGGTCACAGTATCTAAGGTTTTTTCTTTTTTGAGAAATAATAAATGCTGCAAAACTTGCCAAAAAAGTTAGATGATAAAATTTGAATGTACTTATTTGTAACTCTACTTGCTTGTGCCTTTACAACTTACCTTTACAAAGACAGCAACATGATGTCCATTACCTTAACTATTAAGTGCGGCCAAAAAAAAAAAAAATGAGGGGGTGTTTTACTTAGAAGTCATGGCCTCATTGAGAAACCAGCCCAGCTTGAAAACTAAGATCATTACAGTTTGCTGGGATTTATCTCTCAAATACAAAGACCTTAATTTTTTGTTTTTTTACACAGAAGTAATACAGTAATGTGTACTGTAGAAAAATAGTACAAAAGCAGAGAGAAAATTTAAATAAGCCATGATCCTAAAAGCCAGAGATAATTACTAATATTTTAACTTTGAACATTCTCCTATGGAAATATGTGAACACTAATGCACATGAATATGAACATTTTTTCCAGTGTAATAACTTTTTTTCATGAAATATATAAGCCATTTTCTATGTCAACAAATAGACATTTTTCATAGCTCTAAGCATATCATTAATAATTTAGCCAATTTCTTAGCGAAGAGCATTTAAGTTTCAAATTTAAGAATTTTTTAATAATTTCAGGTTTTTATTTAAATTCTAGTTAGTTCACATACAGTATTAGTTTCAGGAGCAGAGCTTAATGATTCATCACTTACATCCATGCTCATCCTAGCAGAAAACAGTAAGATGAGCCAAAAAAAAAAAAAAAACCTGAAAAGAACTAAGTTCCTTTTTTATATAAAGAGCTTTACAAACGGCACACAAAATAAACGGCATCGTAGAAGAAATTACTTAAATATTGTGAAAAGTTGACCATCTTTTCATATAAGAGAAAGTCAAAATTAAAAGGAGAGGCCTTTTCACATTAAGTTTGGCAAGGATACAATAATAGTTTAGGGGCGCCCAGGTAGCTCAGTCAGTTAAGCGTCCCACTCTTGATTTCTGGCTCAGGTTGTGATCCCAGTTTGTGGGATTGAGAGCCCCGTCGGGCTTCATAGTGACAGAGTGGGAGCCTGCTTAGAATTCTCTTTCCCTCCATCTCTCTGCCCCTCCCCTGCATACATGTGCTCTCTCTCTCTTTTTTTTTTTTTTTTTATTTATTTCTAGAGGAGAGAGGAGACAGCGTGAGCAGGGGAGGGTCAGAGAGAGAGGGAGTCACAGACTGAAACAGGCTCCAGGCTCCGAGCTGGCAGTCAGCACAGAGCCCGACGCGGGGCTCAAACCCACGAACCGCGAGATCATGACCTAAGCGAAAGTCGGACGCTTAACCAACTAAGCCACCCAGGCGCCCCACATGTGCTCTCTCTTAAATAAACTAAAAAAAAAAAAAAAAAAAAAAAGTTGGGTAAGATCTTTTGGAATGGGTCTTAAATATTACTGGTGGGAGCATAAATTGCTACAACTCTTATGAAGGGCAATTTCGAAAACTTACCAAAATTCAAAATGTGAATTCCCTGTGACCTAGCCATTCCAATCTACGAATTTATCCTACAGATATATTCAAGCGTATATGAAATGATACATGTACAGTCTAGTACAATTGTGGCTATTCACTGGGGCACAGTTCTGATGAAATGTGCCTCAGTGGATGACTGGTTCAATACAGTGTGGTACATCTAAGAAGGAATGGTGTGACAGCCATAAATAAGAATAAAGGTGTTCTGTTTACAGGACAATCTTCAACAACCATAGCTAATACAATTTTATTGGTAACTGTGGGCCAGGCACTGCTTTAAATATTTTACATATGTTTAATAGATATAATTATCTCCATTTAAATAACTTGCTCCAAGTCAAAGCTAGTGAGTAGTGGCACTGGGTTTCAGCCCAACCCTTGGGGGGTTCAAAGATCATACCTTCTGGGGCACCTGGGTGGCTCAGTTGGTTAAGTGTTGGACTTTGGCTCAGGTCATAAACTCACAGTCTGTTGAGTTCAAGCCTCACATCGGACTCTCTGCTATCAGCACAGACCTCTCCTTTGGATCCTCTGTCTCTCTCTTTGCCCCTCCTCTGCTTGCTCTCTCAAAAATAAGACATTAAAAAACTAAAGGACAGTGTCTTCAAATCACAAAAACAAGACACAGAAGATGCTGTTATGTAGAAAAATATCTCTCTGGAAAAATAACCAAGAAACTAGTTGCATCTGGGGAAGGTAACTGAGCCAGGGCTAGGGGGAGAAAGGCTTCTTTTTTCACTGTTGATTTGTTTTTCCATTTATGTGTATTTCAAAATAATGTTTAATGCTGCAAATAGATGTACTTGCAGGTACATGCTGGCTTGCTTGCTATATACTTAAGTGAATACCTTGTAGGTATCAGTAGCAGAGCACTGAGTCAGCTTCCTTTAACCCTGGTCGCCAGAGATCAGGGTTTCAGGAAAAGCTCCATCCCCACTCCGGGGTCCAGCCTTGACATTTACAGGATGAGGTGTCTTCAAGGCCACAGCCACATGCCTACAGCACATCACATCTGTCAGCAGCACAATCTTCTGTCCCTTAGAGGCATGTGTTAATTTCACTATCTCACAATTAAGACTGACTGCGATAAATAAAACCTAATGAGCACCAGGAAGAACAGCTAGCTAATGAATTTACTCTGCAGCTGTTTCTCAAAGCTGTAAGTGTGTTTGAGGGTTTTCTTAGAGATATTAGTATATGAGAGTATCTGCAAATCTGGATCTTGCATAAGAAATGCACATTAAGATCAGTCATAACTGTGGAAATCCAAACATATTCCTTTACAAATGGCATAATCTAGACAGAAGCAAGTAAACAATTAGCTTGGTAATTAGAAAATACACAGGAATCATTTAGTAAATTGGTTATAGTCTTCTCTAGTCTTAGCATGTGATACATACATACTCACACCCCTGAACTTCCTAGAAGAAGAATAGGCATTTTTCAAACTAAGCGTTAGTATTTCCATCAGTTTCTGGTGAGAATTCCCCAACGTGTTCTAAAAAGCTTGTCTGCACTTGCACCGGGACACATGTCATGTACTGCTATCCTTTCTTCCACGCTGCCACCCTTTGGTCTTCCATCCACTTCCCAGCCAGAGCCCTGCTGCTCAGTAATCACTTTGGGGTGACCTGGGGGCTTTGCAATCTGAGTCAGAGGCTCTGGGAGGCCATGTAGGAGGTTTTCTAATCCAACTCTTAGCCAATGCTCAAAACCAGCTCTTGCTACATTTCACCCAAACACCCCCACCAGGGGAAACCTCCCTATTTCCACCAGGGGAGACCTCCCTATTTCCACGTCACCCTGTTCTTTTTAGATGGCTCGGACGATCGCAAAGTTCTGAGAGTGAGCCAAAACTGGTCTCCCTGTAGCTTTTACCTACTGGTCTGACTTCTCATCCCCTTGTGGTTACCGAACAACTGGGATGGGTGGTGTTGGTCAAGTATTTGAAAAGCAGTCTTTCTCCATTTTTTCTTCTCCAAGCTAAACATTTTGGTTTCTTCACTTGTTTCCCATAGGCATCGAGATACTTTCCATCTAGGTCATTTTCTTATGAGTGACCTACCATTATCTCTATTCTTTTCAGAAGAGAAAGAACTCACTGATTTTCCATTCTGGAAAAAAAAAAAAATCCCATTTTCTCTGGAAATTAACAGTGATGGCACAGATTCCACTCAGAAAGGCTTTCACCTCTCTTATTCGAGTAACTTCCCCATGTATTCTGGCTATAAACAGAAGGGAAGGGGGAAGGGACAAAAGCAGAGAAGGAACGTGTTTTACCTGCTAGTAAGCCTTATGTAAGCCAGTTTGACCTGGACTGGATCTGAGGACCTGAGAAGCCACCCCCAACCCCCACCCACCCCTGCTGCTGACTTTCCTGAGGTTACCTGTAGCTCGTTGTAACACTAAGATTTCTTTCTAGGGGCAGAGTTTTCTGCCAGTTTTTGAATATATGATGTGTGGATCTTGCTAGGTGTGCATAGTTGAACCAAAAATCCCTATGCCAGCCTCCTGCCCCTTCCCCCTAATACACTAAATGAAAGCTTCCTGTACTAACACCCCGGGGAGACAGTGCATTGAGAGCTAGCTCCCTGTCTCCTTCCTTGGAACAATAAAAAGTTCCTTACTTTCAACATTTTCTGGAGTTTAGAGCCTGACCCCTCAAATCTGTTCACACTAAGGCACGTCCTCCCCTTCCCACATGCGTGTAGTTGGTTTCTAGACCATGGCTCTAGACCATGAGCCAACATAGGGATGGTGAGCCAAACGTACTCACCCTCCATACGTTTCACCTTCTGAAATACGACCTGTTGATCTAATGTCTGAGAGCTGGTTCTATCCGCACACACTGCCACTTTCTCCTTGGGCTTTGAGTCATTCTGTTTGGCTAGTATGCCTTCAATATACAAGTTCAAGATCCAATTCATTCAAATTGGTACAACCTGGAGCAACCCCAGAAGCTCATCCTCCAGGTGCCAGAACCAATCTTCAAGAGCTACCCAGTCACCCAAAGAGCCATCACTTCCTTTCAGTTGGCTCTATCATAGCCAAATGGCCGCTCCCAACTTTTTTGTCTACCATTCTCATTTCCAATCCTCTCCATAAGAGGGTAAGTGGAATTTGGGCCACAACAAATTTAAACGTCAACATATGTAATGAATAATAAGAAGTGTTAAAATACTAAATTGGTTCTAATACATATTTAAATTCTAAAAATCAAGTATTTTACATAGACTTTCTACATAGGATGCCTACATGGAAGTATAACGAATTCTTCTGAGTTTAGCACAGATTACTCTCACCCATGTATCTTACTTAAAAGAGTTGCTCATTACGGCCATGAACAGAGTTCACCATCCTGTCGCAGATAACTGCTAAAACTCCTTCATCCTTAGCAAACTACTACACGTCAGTGGTCAGTGAAAGCTACGGTCCTGACCTGTGCTGATCGTACACAGTGAGCTATCAGAGGAGGCTGACAGCAAAGGAAGTACAGGGAGGCCTGGAGTGAAGTCCATTTGTTAGCTTTGTGGCCTTAGGAAACGTATACCGCCTCTGGGCTTCAGTATCTCCTTTGCAAAACAGGGACAATATTACTTGCTTCACAGGGTAAATAAGATTAGATTAAATAGAACCTATGAGATGATAAATGAGTCAGGACTACAGTAGATATGAAATAAATAGTTTCTCATTAACAGACATTTGTGACATTAATAATAATGTCATGCTCTGGAGCACCTGGGTGGCTCAGTCAGTTGAGCATCCAACTCTTGGTTTCGGCTCAGGTCATGATCTTGTGGTCTGAGCTAACAGCAATGAGCCTACTTGGGATTCTCTCTCTGCTTGTACTCTCACTCTCTCAAAAATAAATAAACAAACACTAAAAAGTAATAATGTCTTGCTCAGAGTCAACCTTAAATGAGAAAAGTATGTGTGGGTGGTGAAGGGTGGGGTTACTAAAATTTATTTCATAGCTAAGAGAAATCTAAAAACCTGTTAGAGCTTATTTTAAAAGCTTACTTCAAATTTTAAAAATCTGTTATATTTCTACCATAGAGCTACCCAGACACCCCAGGGAGCATGCAATTTAAAAGTCTTAATTTTCCAAGCAACTATGTCTAAATCTACCTTTCTAATAACATTCTCTTGTGGAATAAGTGCTAGTAATATGTAATTAATTTCACCAGCATCTAAAGTAGATTGAAATTTTTTACAGAGAAATATTCACAACCTCACAGAAATTTCCAGTGTCTTTCTGCTATGTGCCAAATCTTTAAAAAGACCTAATTGAGAAAATAACTAGGAACTACCACCATGGCTGATGTACCACGATATTACTTCTTTCATGCTTGGGAATGGGGCACTATAAATAACCTGAAAATCATGTTAGAATGAGTCCAAATGTTTTACTTACCAACCTCTGTGAGGGAAATTAGCTGGCCTTTTAGTGAACTACTTGTCCTCCCATAATATTATTCCTAGTTTATTGCTGACAAGTTTAGTTCACTTAAAAAAAATGGAATATGAAATGCTGAATGAGATCTTTCTTTACTGAATAAAGGGTAAACACAGAGACATGTTAGAGCATTTTTGATGGTCAGAACTGGCGTCCTCAGAGAGGATCAAACTGATCTATATTAACTGGTTTTACCTGCTGGATCTCTAACCGGTTCCCAGTGCAAGTCACTGTCTTTTTCTCTGATCCATCCACAAAGCCCATGGTCAAAATTACAACTGTGTATCAGAACACCTACGAGAAAATGGCCAGAAAGATGAGTAGACCACGAACCCAACGACTGACAATAAAAAGAAATTCGTTCTCTATCTGCACATGTGTTCTCTTCTAGCCACACAAAACTGCCCCACTAGAGATCAAAGGAAGATCCCATGAAGCCTGTGTTAGAACAACTGTGCCTGTGTGATCAGCTGTAAAAGCAGAACACACAAATGTTGCCAAATTATGACCTTGTTACATGGTCGCTTACCAAACAGGATTTCCTCCAGTTTAAGTGCTTTAATATTTTTTTAAAAGAAGATAATTATGATATATCATTATTTTCACTCAACAATTATAGAACCGCAAAGGAAACCGGGTTGTAAAAAAATAGAGTATGTTTTTTTTCCCCAGACATAACCAAATCATCTACAATTTAAAAGCCACTTTCATGAAATGGAAGGAAACGATACACTGTCAGTGTAACGCTACTAAAATAGAAGCATCTACCTGGATCATCCTTTGCTTCATCGTCTGCACTGACTCCTCTTTCAATTTCAAATATTTCAAACAAGTCATTCGAAGGCTGTCGTGGAACTGAAAAAGAGAGAGGTTTGGTTTGGTTTTGAGGAGGTATTGGTAAAGAGGTAGACCTTTAACCATGGCATAGGGGGAGAAGCCCTAGGCATTCCACTCATCTGGAAGAATCCAAAATATTTCATTAATAATATTACATGTCACATTAAGAGTCACGAGGTTTGTTCTCCAGGCACTTCTATAACGTTTATCTGAGCACAATTTTTGAAAATGTTGTTAAAGTGTTTCTAAAAGTCAACATACAAAGTCTTTGCCTGGAAAATACCTTTTAAAAGAGCTACCCATCTCTAGCAAAATAATCACCTCTGTCAACTTCTAGAATTTGTTTCTATGAAAGATACATTATGAACTCTAAGGCTGTTTTTTTTTTTTTAATGGAAAATGCTGGCAAGTACAGTGAATGGTTTGATTTTCTAGCCACGGCGTCAACCCCTCTCCAGTGAACGCTGCCCACTGCTGAATTCCATCTACAACTCTCACCATCTCTAGGTTGCCTGGCTCCTTAACAATCCAATCCAAACTCCTGGGTGAAACACTCACAACTCACCCCCTGAAACACACAGTACTGTCCAAACATGCCATTTGTTTTCCTGTCTCTGGCCCCGCCCCCAGCTTCGGCTCCTCCTGTTCCGACTAATTAACCTGCCAAACCGTCCCTCCGCCTGCAAGACCCAACGTAAATAACCCTGTCTGGGTGAAAACGCTCATGCCCCAGGCAAATTAGATTCTTTCCCCTTGTTCCCCCCAAAAGCTCATGTGTACACATCTCTATTACACCCTTCCATAGAGAACTGCAGTTCTTCACATACATGCATGTCTGTCTCTCTTGGTTCTGAGGTCTTGGAGGGCTTCAATCATGTCTTATTCATGTGACATTTCCAGGGCGTGACCTGGAGACAGGCCCTTGGTAAGTGTTTATGGAATGAGTGTGAAAATCTTATCAGAAATTTACGTTTTGTCAACCCTTTTCCTCAAACGAACAAACAGGGACAGAGTTGAAGAATCCAGTTTTTAAAATTAGAGTCATTTATAATTTTTAAAAAAACTTGTAATGCTTATTTATTTTTGATAGAAAGAGGGAGAGACAGAGACAGAGGGTGAACAGGGGAGAGGCAGAGAGAGAGGGAGTCACAGAATCCGAAGCAGGCGCCAGGCTCCGAGCTGTCAGCACACAGCCCAATGTGGGGCTTGAACTCAGGAACCATAAGATCATGATCTGAGCCGAACTCAGACGCTTAACCGACTGAGTCACCCAGGCGCCTCTCAAAACACAGTTATTTAAAGCATTAGTTATTCAGTGTATATTTGTCCCCCACTGCCATGAACCTTGGTAGCCAAGGGGACAGGTAAAAGAGTGGACAAGATTAACAAGGACCTAGCCCTCAGGGAGACTGCATTGTAACTAGAGGCCAACAGTAAACATGTAGCTAAATCCTCACTACAATTCTAACTTCTGATGAGGGCTGCAAAGGGAAAGCACCAGAAGATGTCATAAAGAGTAACTGGGGTGGGCTCGGGGGGGGGGGGGGGGGGGGGGGATGTGGGAATGTTGGTGGAGGGGAATTCCTGGCCAAAGACCAGGGCATACTCCCTTTTCTAAGCCAGAACTTAAATTCATTAACTCTGTTTGTATAAGGCAGGGAGTAAAAGATGTAGAACACCAAGGAACAGACATCAGTCAGGGTTCTTTTCCAACAATGTTCCTATTATTTTTAGCAAGAACTTTTTAAAATTAACAATCCCATAATATTCACGCTGATTTTTCCCCCACTTACTGCTTTTAAAGCTTTTCCCTTTTTGTTTCAGAAGTACAAACAGTGAAGACCCATCTCCTCTCCACACACACACACACATAAATGCCCGGCCTGAAAGGGAGGAGAGAGAAGCTATAGAAGCTAGACCATAGACCAGCTCTAAGGATATAACCTGATCGCAGGTGCCCTGAAGGTGAGGTAACTGGCTGCCCTCTTTTATACCCAAATGACTAACAGCAACGACATCCATTTATAGCCTTCCTTTCTTCCTTAGGGACTCTTAAGAGGGGACTGCTTCTTATTTACTAGAAATATTATAAACTTGTAAGCAAGCATGCTTCATTACTCATCATATAGAGAAAGTGTAAAATAACTCTATAGAACAATCATTTTTTGTTCTCCTGTTGTAACTTACACAACTTATTTCTGAGCTGGAATAGCTCAAATCCTGTAGTACCGTATTATGGTGCTGCATTGTGGCTGTTTGTTAGCCTCCTTTTTTCTAGATGAAGGACACTCAAATGTTAAATAGTTTAGGTGTAGAGGGGGAGGCTGGAACAAAGGTTTCCTGGCACAAGGGGCCTATTTTTGTTGTTGTTCTTAGAAGCTTCCTTATTACATGTGATCTTAACACTTTAATATGTATATTACAACATGGGGATAACTTCTAGTCACTGATATAACACCTGTCATGGGAAGCTTGCAAATAGCTTTCTTATAGATGTTTCTAAGTGAACTCATCACTTCATTCTTCAGAGCATGGGTGTCACTACATTCAGTGCAGCTTCGCCCTACCTAAAACTCTTTATGGCACTTGGGAGATGTGTTCTTAGAAACCTCTGTATTGACAGGGTGCCTGGTTGAGCATCTGACTCTGGACTCGATTTCAACTCAGGTCATGATCTCACAGTTCATGGGTTCTAGCCCTGTATCAGGTCCTGTGCTAACAGCATGGAGCCTGCTTGGGATGGATTCTCTCTCTCTCTGCCTCTCCCCTACTTGCTCTGTCTTTCTCAAAAATAAACCTTAAAAAAAAAAAAAAGAAACCTCTGTATTACAAATGTACTCAAACACTTCATGCCTATTTAGTGGGTATCATTTCCATCACTGACATAACACTGTGTTGCAAAAGTCACAGCTTGCACATGTCTTTCTTAAAAAATATCTTACTAGAAGTGCTCTTAAACAATTTATTGCATGCATTAAATAATGAGGGTCACTTCCACTCACATAATAAACTGGTCATAAAGGGAGATCAAGGGGATCCTCTCTAAGGAAGCACCATTTACACCAAGAAGGAAAGAATGTGGAAACTTCCAAGCAAAAAGCAAAGTGGTGGTGTGGGGGCAGAGGGAGTGTTTCAGACAGCAGTTACAAAGAAGGTGTTCAGAATATTTAGAAAAAGGAGTTCCTGGTGCATGAAGGATGCTGAGAAATGGGGGAAAGTGGTTTGGGATGAGGTTGAAGAGAAAGGGAGGGAGGAGATCACATGTTTGGAAAACAGCAACTCCAAGAATTAGTTATCTAACGACTTGCTAAGTGCCAGATGTTTCATTAAGAGTTCTTGGAAACCAAGTGCCTAAAACACTAACTTCAGCTGATCAAGCACACCTTCAGTGCAGGTCATTGGGAACACATTTCAAGGAATTCAGAGACCTGAAACCCTTAGCAGCTTTTAGTTTTCACAATTTTGTGTGCTCTACTCTGTAAATCTGCCAAATTGTTAAACTATTTCTCCTTCTTCACATATACACACATAGATTGCTAAGAGTCAAGTGTCAAGAGAATGTTCACTACCCTGCTTCCTGGCATATTTTACAGTTTATGTGAAAATACTAGGTGAAATAAGTTATGGGACAAAATCATTCAAGCAGTATTATCTCAACTATGTAAAAGGAAAACAAGCACACCAAAAAAACAGGCTAGGAAAAAAAGAGTGACCAAACAACACCTACGGTCAATTAATTTACAACAAAGAAGCCAAGAATATACAGTGGAGAAATGGCAGTCTCTTCAAAAACATGGTGTTGGGAAAACTGGATGGCCACAAGTAAAAGAATGAAACTGGACCCCTATTTTGCATTATACACAAAAATGAACTCAACATGGATTAAAGACTTGAATGTAAGCTCTGTAGCCATAAAACTCCTAGAAGAAAATACAGACAATAAACTCCTTGGCACTGGTTTTGGCAGTGATTTCTTTTGGATCTGACTCCAAAAGCAGAGGCAACAAAAGCAAAAATAAGCAAGCAGGATGATATCAAACTAAAAATCTTCTGCACAGCGGAGAAAATCACCACCAAAATGAAAAGGCCAGCTAGTAACTAGGAGAAAATATTTGCAAATCATATCTGATAAGAAGTTAATATCCAAAATATATAAAGAACTCAGACAATTCAATAGCAAAAAAAATATGCAATTATAAAATGAGCAGAAGATCTGAATCAACTTTTTCCCAAAGATATACAGAGGCCAGCAGGTACATTAAAAGGTGCTCAGTGTCACCGGATCTTCAGGGAAATGCAAATCAAAACCCTGATGAGGGATCACCTCACACCTGTTAGAATGGCTGTAATCAAGGAGACAAGAAATCACAAGTGTTGGCAAAGATGTGGAGAAAAGCCGAACCCTTGTGCAATGTTAATGAGAATGCAAATTGGTACGGCCACTTAGGGAAACAGGATGCAGGTTCCTGAAAAATTGAAACTAGAAACACCATATGATCCAGCAATTCCACTTCTGAGTATTTATCTGAAGAAAATAAAAATAGTAATTCAAAAATATTGCACTCTCATGCTCACTGCAGCCAAGATATGGAAATAACCTCCATGTCCATGGACTACTGAATGGATAAAGAAGATGTGGCATCTATGTGCACAGAGTAATAGTCAGCTATAAAAAGGAATGAAATCTTGCCACTTGTTACAACATGGAAAGACCCTGAAGGCATTACGGTAAGTGAAATGAGTCAGAGTAAAACAAATATCACATGATCTCACTCAAATGTAGAATCTTAAAAACAAAAACAAGCTCATAGCTACAGAGAACAGAATAAAGGCTGCCAGAAATAGGTGATGAGGTGTGGGCTAAGTGGGCAAAAGGGTTCCAAAGTTACAACTGTCTAGTTATAAAATAAGTAAATCCTGGGGATATAAAGCATGGTGAGTACAATTAATAATACCGCACTGCATATCTGAAAGTTGATAACAAAGTAAATCTTAGAAGTTCTCATCACAAGAAAAGA